AGCTAGATCCTCTGGATGACTTGCTGCAGTTTCTACATCACCACTTGCTGCTTCACCTTGTCCTGTTATGTCATGAAGATGGCTTCTTTCCTTAAACCTCTGAACCAGCCTCTGCTAGCTCCAAACTTCTCTGCTGCAGCTTCATTGCCTCTCTCACGCTTCTTACAATTGAAGAGAGTTAGGGTCAAGCCCTGGATTAGGCTTTTTAGCTTAAGAGAATGTTATGGCTGGTTTGATCTTCTATCCAGACCACTATAACTTTCTCCATATCAGCAATTAGCCTGTTTCACTTTCTTATCATTCATGTGTTCACTGGAGTAGCACTTTTAATTTCCTTCAAGAACTTTGCATTTGAATTTACAACCTGGCTACTAGCTGTTTGGTGCAAGAGGCCTAGTTTTGGCTTATCTTGGCTTTTGACATGTCCTCCTCATTAAACTTAATCATCTCTAGCTTTTTATTTAAAGTGAGACACAAATGAGTCTTTCTTTCACTTGAACATTTAGAGGCCATTGTAGGGTTATTAACTGGCCTGATTTCAATATTTTGTGTCTTAGTGGACAGGGAGACCTGAGGAGAGGGAGAGACACAGGGGAAAGGCCATTGGGTAGATCAGTCAGAACCTGAACAGCACAATATTTATCAATTAAGTTGCCTATCTTACCTGGGTGTGGCTCATGGCTCCCCAAAACAATTAAAATTTTAACATCAAAGATCACTGATCACAGAGCACTATAACAAACATAACAGTAACAAAAGAGTTTGAAATATTGTGAGATTACCAAAATATGACACACAGATACAAAGTGAACAAATATTATTGGGAAAATGGTGCCAACAGATGTGCTCAACATAGAGTTGCCACCAAACTTCAATTTGTGAAAAACACTGTATCTGTGAAGTACAATAAAACAAGGTATGCTTGCTGTGAAATAATAATAATTCAAATATTTTGAAGTAGTTTATATACAGTCATTTCCTCCTTACAAAGTATCCTAATATGATACTAAACTAAAACACAAAGATGTAGATGCTGTAAGGTAAACTTAAATGACTTATTCAAGATCCTGTTTCTCAGAAAGATCAGAAGGCTAATGCAAATGAATTAGACATCAACTCTTTAAAGGAAAGTGAAATATGTAGTGAAAAATGATAGGTCAATTACAGCCACCTACTTATTTATTAATAGTATCCGTTTCCATTTCCAGGTGCAACACGTTGGTTCCTTAATACTTACAATTTAGGTTTTACATTTACTATAAGAAAGTGATTTTGGAGGGAAATTTCCTGGCAATCCAGTGGTTAGGACTTGGTACTTTCAGTGCCAGGGCCCAGGTTGGATCCCTGGTCTGGAAACTAAGATCCTGCAAGTCACAAAGCATGGCAGAAAAATGAATGATATATACAAGGTATATATGACCATATGCTGTGATCTACTCGGCCTTATATAGATCTAGATCTAAAGAACAAAAATGGATTTTTATCATCTATTTGTTCTAAAAAATGTTTCTGATCAACTATACATGCAGAGAGCTGCAAAAAATGAAATACACCCATATATGAATGACTTCTATTTGACCACAGAGAGCTACACACTAGAGGAATAGGTGAAGTTTGTCATTTGGAACCCACAGCTTTCCCTGTCTGCGTTTATGTTCATAACATGTAGCAACCTACTCTTTGCTCCAGTTCTTTTATAGTCTTTTCCATATTTCAGCAAATATGGAAAGTGACATTAGGTTGGTACAAAAGTAATTGCGGTTTTTGCATTGTTGAAATTTGCCTTTTGATACTGGAATACATTCTAAATAAGTGTGGTCATCATTTTTGTGTGCATTTCTTGCTTTATGCTTTTTTGCTAATGGGTTATGACTTACTATTTTATATTTATTTTAGACTAGGAAAATGATGTTAGACAAAAAGCAAATTCAAGTGATTTTCTTATTTGAGTTCAAAATGAGTCATAAAGCATTGGAGACAACTCACAACATCAACAACACATCTGGCCCAGGAACTGATAATGAATGTACAGTACAGTGGTGGTTCAAGAAGTTTTGCAAACGAGACAAGAGCCTTGAAGATGATGAGCACTGTGGCTGGCCATCAGAAATTGACAACGAACAACTGAGAGGATCACTGAAGCCAATCCTCTTTCAACTACGTAAAAAGTTGCCAAAGAACTCACTGTCGACCATTCTATGGTCATTCAGCATTTGAAGCAAATTGGAAAGGTGAAAAAGCTCGATAAGTGGGTGCCTCATGAGCTGACCGAAAGTAAAAAAAAATCATTTTGAAGCATCATCTTCTCTCATTCTATGCAATGACAATGAACCATTAATCGAACAGATTGTGACATGGGACAAAAACTGGATTTTGTATGACAATTGACGATAACCAGCTCAGCAGTTGGACCAAGAAATAGCTCCAAAGCACTTCCCAAAGTCAAACTTGCACCAAAAAAATGTCGTGATTACTGATTGGCAGTCTACTGCCCATCTGATCCACTACAGCTTTCTGAATACCAAAGAAACCATTTACACCTGTGAAGTATGCTCAGCAAGTTTATCACTTGCACCGAAAACTGCAATGCCTACAGGTAGCATTGATTAACAGAAATGTCCCAATTCTTCATGACAATGCCCGACCGCACATCACACAACCTATGCTTCAAAAGTTGAATGAACTGGGCTATGAGGTTTCTCCCTCATCCACCACATTCATCTGACTTCTTGCCAACAGACTATCACTTCTTCAAGCATCTCAACAACTTTTTCCTGGGAAAATGCTTCCATAACCAGCAGGAGGCAGAAAATGCTTTCCAAGAGATTGTTGAATCCTGAAGCATGGATTCTTTATGTTACAGGAAGAAACTTACTTCTTGTTGGCAAAACTGCATTGATTTTAATGGTTCCTATTTTGATTAATAAAAATATGTTTGAGCCTTGTTATAATAATTTAAAAATCACTGTCTGAAACCATTAATTACATTTATACCAACCTAATACTTATAATAGCACAACAGGAAAACTGGAAGAAGCTCCTCATTTCTGAAAGCAACCCAGCTGCATTAGACCCCATCTGTACTTCCAACTGATGAAGGAATCTATACCTCAACATACTTTTATGCAACCGATTTAGAGCACAGTATGATACATACTGGTTGGTCTACTCTCTTTTCTCTTAACCATAAGTTATAAGAAAAACTTCAACAAGAGTATTTTAGGAAAAATCATTCCCAGGAACACATAAACTATGAGCTATTTATTTCTAATTATGAGATGAGAGACTAAGGAAAATTTAAGTGAAATGCAGATCAGGAGACCAGAGGAGAAAATAGCAGGAGATTCCCACTATCTTAAATTAAACTTTAACCATTCCTTTAGAAAGTGAAAAGTGAAAGTGAAGTCGCTCAGTCGTTTCCGACTCTTTGTGACCCCATGGACGGTAGCCCACCAGGCTCCTCCGTCCATGGGATTCTCCAGGCAAGAATACGGCAGTGGGTTGCCATTTCCTTCTCCAGGGAATCTTCCCAACCCAGGGATCGAACCCAGGTCTCCCAAATTGCAGGCAGGCACTTTAACCTTTGAGCCACCAGGGAAGCCCAACTATTCCTTTAAGTATATACTTTAAATCTAGTTGGAAGATGAACACTGCTAAGCTGTCTTTATGGGATAGCAGGGGACAAAAACAAGAAAAGAGGGACTGCTCTGGTGGTCCAGTGGTTGGGAGTCTACCTCCCAGTGCAGGGGACATGGGTTCAAGCCCTAATCAAGGAACTAGGTTCCTACATGCTGCAGGGAAACTAAGCCTGTACACCACAACTACAGAGCCCAGGCATCGCAACTAAGACCCAATGTCACCAAAAATAAAAATAAATAAATTAACTAAATTTCAAAAATAAGAAGAAAAGAAATTTTTGTAATTTAATTTATACTACTCCTCTGATTTCTCAGAGAAGTAAGCCAAGGTCTGTTGTTAGGCTGCCATTTGTCTATTCCAAAGAGGTACTGAGGGAGAAATGTTTATCAGGGAATCACCAAATTTGTACAGCTGCAGGCCTGAGACCAGCTAAGCTTGTCTGTTCATAGGATCATTCACTGAGCTGGCAGCCACATCTCCCTTCTCTTCACAGATGGTCTATACTTTGCTCCATGATTCACAAATGCCACATATTTAGAGTTATTTATACTGTTGTGTCTCTGGATATTTTAAATATTCAGCTATCTGTTCCTAGCACTTGAGTTTCTAAACATCTAGTCAGACTGCTCTAGGAGAATGTGGAGCCTGAGTATTCATCCTTCAAATGTAGATATGAGTAAAGAGAACTTAAGCCACTGGGAAGTTCAATGGAAGACTTTCATTGAGTTTATACTCATGCACAAGAGAAAGAAAGAAAGAGAAAGCGAAGTAGATGACACAACTGTACCTGATACAAGGGAAATCTAAAATAGTCAATAAATATACATTATGAAGAATTACAAAGGAAAAAGACTAAAACATCAAAACTAGCTTTACTGTATAAAATGAATGACAATCATAGTTTATTACCTGAAATGCTTACAGTTATTTATATGTAGTTAAGTGAAATCACCATGGTGGGTTTAAAATAGGATATACCTAGGTCTGAATCCTCTTCTACCAATCATTTATAAAGATATAACAATATTGTGAGGCTGTTCAAGAATTAAGTTAGCTAACACATGGAGTGAAAATAATATAGAATTTAGGCATATATGTGTAAATAAATGTTAGTTTTTCTTTTTTCCCTTCTTCTTAAATACCAGAGAGAGCACAATGGTTTGCTTCTACTTTAACATTCATTAAACATTTGTTGCTATTATGTGCATATGATTATCCTAGATGCTTACCAATTGTGGAAAGATATTCCTTTGAGCCCATTGGTGAGGATAATTAATAACTGGAAAGAAGCATGACTTTACAATGACATGATATTTTCTAAATCAATGTTCCATGATATATGCAAAATTTATTAGACTCACTTTCTTCCAGTTTTAAAGAAACTGAGGGATTGTTTCCTGTTTCATCCACATTTCCTTCACCACCTCCTCGAGATCTTGAATTCCAGACTTTAATCACTTCAACATCATTGTCACTGCCACTTCCACTTGAGCTACTATCTTTTTTTCCCTTTTTCCCCTTTGCTTTTTTCTTTCTAAAAAAGAGAACAAATCCAAATGATTAGGGAAACACAGGAAAAATACAAGTGCCAATTATTAGAAGACAATCAGCAAGCTGGGATTTTAAACACGTCAACACAGGGCACAAAAAGTATTCAATTTACTTTGTATAATCATCAGAGCTTAAACTCATGGAGGTTTCATCCGAATCTGAAGCTATAAATTCATCCATACTGTCTTCATCAAAATATCCCTAGGGAAAAAAAAATGAACATTTTAAGAATTTATTTCAATTTATACTGGAAATTATGATGATGATGTCTGTTTCATTTAAGGATAAATTCACTGTTATAAGAAAGAACTGAAGAACTATAATATATTAGAAAAAATAAAGGAAACATCACAGACATGACTAATAAATGCAACGTGAAGTCTTAGATTGACTCATGGAAAAGAAAAAGGATGTAAATACAAAAACTGATGAAATCCAATTAACATCTATTGTTTAGTTACTAGTACTTATTTGAATTTCTTAATTTTAACTATTTTACTATGGTTATGAAAGATGTTAATCTATGAGAGAAGAGACAAGAATATACAATTGAGAAAAGATAGTCTCTTCAATAAGTGGTGTCGGGAAAACTGGACAGCTATATGTAAAAATGAAATTAGAACATTTCCTAACACCATACACAAAAATGAACTCAAAATGGATTAAAGACTTAAACATAAGGCTGGATATGATAAAACCCTTATAGGAAAACATAGGCAGAACACTCTGACATAAATCGCAGCAAGATCTTTTTTGACTCACATCTGAGAGTAATGAAGATAGAAACAAAAATAAACAAATGGGACTTAATTAAAATTTAAAAAGCTTTTGCAAAGCAAAGGAAACCAGAGACAAAACAGTGAGGTGCCATCTCACACTGGTCAGAATGACAACCATCAAGACTCTACAAACAATATATACTAGTGATGGTGTGGAGAAAGGCAAACCCTTTATATTGTTGGTGTGTGTGTACTTAGTCGCTCAGTCGTGTCTGACTCTTTGTGACCTCATGGACTGTAGCCTGCCAGGTTCCTCTATCCATGGGAATTCTCCAGGCAAGAAAACTGGAGTGGGTGGTGTTGCCCTCCTCCAAGGGATCTTCCCAACCCAGGGATCTAACCCAGGTCTCCCACATTGCAGGTGGATTCTTTACTGTCTGAGCCACCAGGGAATATGGGAATGTAAATTGGTATAGCCAATATGGAGAACAGTATGGAGGTTCCTTAAAAAACTAAAAGTAGAGTTGCCACATGGTCTAGCAATCCCAGTCCTGGGCATATACCTGGAAAAAACTGTAATTCAAAAAGTGTACAATAGCCAGGACATGGAAGCAACCTAAATGTCCATTCACAGAGAAATGGATAAAGAATATGTGGTATATATATATATATATATATATATATATATATATATATATATATATATACACACAATGGATATTATTCAGCCATAAAAAATGAAATGATGCCATTTGCAGCAACATGGATGGACCTAGAGATTATCATTCTGAGTGAAGTAAGTCAGACAGAGGAGGACAGATATTGTATATTGCTTGTATGTGGAATCTAAAAAAAGGGTACAAGTGAACTTATTTAAGCAACAGAAATAAGAGTCACAGGTGTAGAAAACAATCTTATGGTTACCATCAGGAAGGGGGTAGGGGATTGGGATTGACATGTACACAATACTATAGTAAAGACCTACTGTCTAGCAGAAGGAACTCTACTCAATACTCAGTAATGACCTATATGGGAATAGAATCTAAAAAAGAGTGGATATACGTACAACTGATTCACTTTGCTATACAACAGAAAGTAACACAACATTGTAAACTAACTATATGCCACTAAAATTTTTTTAAAAGATGAACATTTAACACTCCTTCCATAATCACAATTCACTGAAACATAGAGTAATTAACTAGAAATAAAATAGGCTGAATTGTACCACAAAGAAAAAGAAATCTGAATATACATTAAGTCTATACAGATCAACCTTTTTCCAAAGTTATTCTACTTACTACAGATACCTTTTGATCAATTTTAGGTTAGTTAATTTACCTTATTTTCTTTACTAATGTAGTCCAGCTGCAAACACCATGGATGAGTCCAGATTCTACTTAACATTTGAAAATCTTGGAAAAGTTTTGCACCTGCCTTTCCTCTTCCACCTTCACTGCTATTACCTACGCCTGATCAAAAGGAAAAAAAAAGAGCTAATGTTAAGACATAAGAATTCTCTAGTTCAACCAAGGTGTTTCTGTATTAGGACCTTAGCTTGATCTGTGCATCAGAATACTCTGGCCCTGTAGAGAAGCTAATAGGCCCTCATTTTTAGACTATTTCAAAACACATAAAATAAACAGGATTACAAAAGAAAGCCATCATACAGAAATAATCAAAATGTTAAAAAAACAAACTTGTGGTATAGTGATATGCATACCTTATTAATGCATTAAATAACAAATATAGTAGTAAGTTTAACAATGGCCTGAAATTTTGAAGTACTGATAAAGGTAAATAAGTTTGAGATATCAGTAACAACAATAATATGTAGAAATATTTCTTATTTCTATTGGTAACAAAGTCACCGTTATCACTAATACTACTATGGTTTATTGCCTGAATTAATAACTAGAAAAATGCCATATTTTTGATAGAAGTTAGTGAAAACAGGCAGTATTTTCTTATTCAGGTCCTAGATTCTATCCACGTGCTCTAGATTACAAATTCCTGCTTTAGATAAAGCCACTCTCTATATACAGTACTTAAGCAAAACTCTTATGTAACAAACCCAGTATTTATAAAAGTTGTTTTTCAAGTTGAAAAAATTATTTATTTTGCCCAGAGAAACTTCAACAATATATTTTTTAAATGAAAATGAAGTAAAAATGAAATGAATGTACATTTCACTAATATGACAAAATTATCAAGGGGGTAAAACACAAAAGAACAAAGTTGATCTTTTAAAAGAATGGTATTTAAACAATAACATTTTTCTGTCCACAGTTTTAAAAGATCTAAATTCACAACTCCATGAGGGACAAGATGTATATTCAGTAATGATATGAAATAAGAATAAAAAAGCATAAAAATACAGTACTCGCTATTTTGTCTGATTAGAGGTATTGCCACTGTGTATGATAGAAATCATTGCTGTGAAAATGAGGCATCTAATTTCTTGATAGCATTCTCTTATAATCCTTTTATTTCTACAAAGACATAAATGAGTCTCTTTACACTTGAACACTTAAAGAGGCTAAGGTATGGCTATATCTTGTTCTGGTTTTGATTTATATTTCCCTGATGGCTAATCATATTGAGCAACATTTAGAGAAGTGATTCTCAGGCAGAGGGTACATCAGAATCACCCAGAGGAATTATAAAAATGCAGCTGCCTAAGCCCTACTCCAGAACCACTGAATCAACTTGTAATGTGTAGTACACAGATCCATTTATTTTTAAAGATAATAGGATTTTATTTTTCTCTATTTATAAGAGTACAATTCAGTGGCATTAAGTATAATCAAAACATTGTACAACCATCAGCACTCTACATTTCTAAAACTTTTGCCATGATTGTTAACAGAAACTCTGTACCAGTTAAATGAATCTGACTCTTCTAGTCAACTCTAAATGTAATCACACAGTATTTGCCCTTTTGTTTCTGACTCATTTTACTTAACATGATGTCTCCAAGTTCCATTCACATCAGAATTTCTTTAAAAGATTGTAATATTCCATTGTTTGCATATATCATATTTTGTTCATCTATTCATTACTTGATGGACACTTTGATTGCCTCCATGTTTTTGGCTATTACAAATAATGCTGCTATATAAACATGAATTGGTAACTATCTGTTTTGAATTCTTGCTTTCAATTATTTTGAAAGTAGAATTTTACCTAGAAGTACAATTGCTGTATCACATGGTAATTCTCTGCTCAACCCTTTGAGCAACTGCCACACTTTTGTCACAGCAGCTACACAAGTGTTCAAATTCCTCCGTATCACTTCCAATACTTGTTATCTTTATCTGAGAGTCATCCTATTGGGTGTGATATGGTATCTCTTGGTTTTATTTGCATTTCTTGAATAACTAGTGATAATATAGAGCATCTTTTAATGTGCTTGTTAGTCACTTGTATATCTTTTTTGGAGAAACGTCTATTGAAAACCCCTATGTCCGTTTTTGAATTGACTTGTTTGGTTTTTGTTGTTGTTAGGTTTGGTTTTTGTTGTTGTTAGGTTGTAAGGGGCTTCCCAGGTGGCGCTAGTGGTAAAGAACTCGCTTGCCAATGCAGAAGACATAAGAAACACAGGTTGGATCCCTAGGACAGGAAGATCCCCTGGAGGAGGGCAAGGCAACCCTCTAGTATTCTTGCCTGGAGAATCCCATGGACAGAGGAGTTTGGTGGGCTACAGTGCACAGGGTCGAAAAGAGTCAAAAATGACTGAAGCAAATGAGCATATGCACACACAGAAGTTGTAAGAGTTCTTTATGTGTTCTGGATATTAATTCCCTTTAGGAAAATGACTTACAAATATTTTCTTCCATTCTGTAGACTGTTTTTGTATGTGCTCCATTTCAGCATGCCTAAGACAATGTATGGATTTTAACAGTGATTTAAGCTAAAAATCAGGCTGTTTTAAAACTAAGTATTCATACGTATAAAACCTAAAGTGTTTACTGAAGGCAGAGGCTTACATATAAATAGAAACTTCTGATGGAAAGTGAAAGTGTTAGCTGCTCAGTTGTGTCTGACTCTTTGTGACACAATGGACTGTAGCCCACCAGGTTTCTGTCCATGGAATTCTCCAAGCAAGAATACTGGAGTGGGTTGTCATGCCCTCCTCTAGGGAAAATTCCTGACCCAGGAATCAAACCTGCATCTCTCGCACTGCAGGCAGATTCTTCACTGTCTGAGTCACCAGAGAATTTGATGGTAAAAAGGAAAGAAAAGAACTGCATTTTTTAGAGAATGAAGGAAAATTAGGAAGATATTAATTTTCTTGAAATTCATTAAATTTAGTCTTTTATGACTTTAATTCTGCTAATATTAAATATACCATAAATTACTACTACTAAAATTACCATCAAATTGTTGCTAGTATTAAAAGAAAAAAATTATGTGAACTTCTTAAAGCTAAGTTGAATATAAAAAGAGTCAAATAAAGAAACAAAAGTATTTTTGGACTATGTAATCAATAAAGTATCAAAGATTTTAATTGCAAGTGAGATAGGTGACATTTTGGGAGAAACACTTTGATGGTTCCTAGTGAGAATCAAGATAAAGCAGCTTTTAATATAATCCATTTGGCCTTTTATGAAAGTTTTTTCCAAGGGATTATTAACTCAGGTTATTCTACTTTAAGGAAAATAAAACACCACATTTAGTAGGGGGGAAATTCCAAGACATTCTCATGATTGAAAGATTCATGGTACCAGATAAATTAACAACCATACCTTTCTTAGTTAAGAAGCTATAGCAGTTAGTACTTTAGATATTTACTCCTAACAATTAAAGTTATAAAAAATGAGGTCCCCTTAAATCTTAAATATTGCACTGCTCTTAGAATGAGTATGTTTTAATATCTATAAATGAGCTATTAACATTTTGCTGTTGGTTATTAAACACAACTGATTCTTTAATATTTTATAACAGCACATTCCCCACAATGAGACAAAATTTTAAATATTTTGGAGAAAATATTAAGTGACCAAATTTAGCACCTTTTATTATTCAGAGATTAAAGAAAGACAGGTCTCAATATCCCTCTCTCTCTTTCTCACTGGAATGACTATATTTAGTTACTTAATGATGTCTGCACTTTTTGTCATTCAAATCCAAATGGTACAATAAATCTAATAGCTTATGATTAATATACAAATGAAAATGTGCGCCTTATTAGAAATGATCTCCTTTCAAAAGTCAGTCAGAAAATCATTTTAAAAATAAAGCAAAAAATCTCTATAAAATACAAACATTAGAAACCTGTTTTCCCCAAAGTAGAACAACTGTTGAGGACCATCATCATTATTCTATTTTCTAAAACAGAAATTATCTGTCACAAAGAGTGTTACTTTAACTACTAATATGAAGCATCACTGTAATGTGTATGTATAAACCTCCACTCTCTATTATTTTTTGATCAATTCTTGTATCAAAAATGGCTGAAGAGTGCCTTCTAACCTATAGCCCCTAAATAAATCTGGCGTATCAACTGGGTAAAGGTACCAGAATAAAGTGACCAACAAGTAAAAAATTTCACTCCAGACCAAACAGAAACTAACGTTTTGCTCTGTGAATGATGACAACCTTGGACAAACAGACACATACGAACACCTGAATTTACTGATGATGAAACAGTATCTATCTGATGTATGTTTTAAAAGCACATAGAGTGACTTTTCCGGTAGTCCAAGTGGATAAGATCTGCCTTCAATGCAGGGGAAATGGGTTCAATCCCTGGTCCAGGAACTAAGATCCCACATGCTGTGGGACAACTCAGCCCACAAGCCACAACTAGAGAAAAGCCAGCATGCTGCAACTACAGAGCCCACATGCTCTGGAACTCACGTGCCACAAGTGAAGGGAAGCCTGTGTACACCAACAAAAGCTATTATATGCCGCAGCTAAGACCCAATATGGTCAAAGATAAAAAAATAAGCATTTTAAAATAACAACAATTTTAAAAAAGCACATGGAAAAAAGTATAAGTTCCTCATAATGTAATCATTCTGAAAATAACCTGTTATTAACATATTTGTGTATTTTAGGCATTTCTGTGTACTTTTGTTGTAACATTGGGACATAATATGTGCCCTGCTTTGTATTTTGCCCTTTTTTCCCTTCAACATTTGTCAATTTGATACCTAAAAAAGCAATTTCATGAGTTTGACTTATAGGTCTTTTATTAATGTGGTTGAATATTTTTAATAATACACTGGAATTTTATGTATCTTCTTTTATGAATTTAGTCAAATACATAATATTTTATGAAATAAAAGCTCTTTACAAATTAAGGCATTATTGATATATTCTATATATTTTTTCACTAGTTTGTTCCTTAGTTTTATTTTGAGAATATTAGTTTTTTAATTAGAAATATTTTTTGTTTTTACAATATAAACATACCATTTTACACAAATCCAAATTGCAGAAGAACAACTGATGTGGTAAAATTACCACGACAGCATTCTTCAGAAAAAGAATGTCTTAAGAAAGAAAAAAACAATAAACTAAGTGTATTTGTTACCTGTTAAGTGATCTAAGTAGTACTGATAGAGTTTGCACTGAATAGGAGTCATTCTCACAGCTAAAACATACTCATGCTTTGGAGGCAAAAACTTTGTTAATGCTGTATAATCTTTCCTCTGTAATTAATAATAAACAGAAGGAAAATTAGTTAAATATATGACAGGAATTAACTGCTCTAAGAATCATCACTGCTTGCAACTAAAAAGTGCACACAAATAAAAGGTACCAGACATATAAGAAAACATTTACTTAAATATATTTACCCTCTTTAATCACACAATGATCCCATTTAATTGCAGTTAATGTATTTCATGTGACTACACAGTATGACTCACTGGTAAAAAGATACTGCAACACACCAGGCAGGTTTTAAATTGAAGTGGCCATACTACCAAGTGAGCAATTTAGGTTTTCAAATGGTCTCCTCTATATAGAAAAAAAGAAAAGAAAAAAAAGGTGGGGAGGGGATACAGTAGGTAGTGCTAGCAAAAAAAAATTGCTTTAATCATACAGTAAAACGGATGAATCAAAGTCCAATGCAGTCTGGGTTATCCTTTGGGTAAAATGTGCCAACATGCCAGAGGATAACATATAACATCAGGGGGAATGTTTGTCCAATTGAGAAAATAAGCCATGTATAGGCATTCTTAAAACCATATAACATAGGAACAGAAAAGAAAGAACACTAATGTGATAGATACTAATGACTACCTAAATCAGAAAAATGCCACCTAAGTAGTAGCAGTAATACAGAAATAAGAGTACCCGCTAGTACCTATGGGTAACCTGAACAAACAGAATGACTTTACCTTATATAACGGTAGTACAGTCAGTCCAAAGGATAGCCTATCTCACCTGTTGCATCCATTAATAGCTGGTGTCTTAATAAAAATAAAGAACTGAGATCTATTAACTGCTTGGTCAGTCTCTACATACTTATCTCCTCATTAACAATGGTTTACTGAAGATCTATGTGTAAAGAACACTATTAGTCCATTAAAATTATTGTATGTACTTGGAATTAACAAAACTGTTTCTTCAGGATTACTTCTTTCATAATTCATAAGTGCCTTTCCTACAACCATTTCAAACAAATGAGGTTTGGAATACTATACTATAAAATCTGGTGAGCACAGAAATTTCTTAATCATAATAGCTGTGTTCCTTTTACATATCCCCTATCTTAAGATTGAGAAAAGTCTAAACATTAACATATAAACATATAAAGCTACACATCCAGCAAATGAATTAATCAAGTATGTTCTAAACTTCTCAATGCAATTTTTAAAATTATTTATTTATTTTACTTTACAACATTGTATTGCAATACTAAATAAACTTTGGAAAAGAGTGCAAGAAGATTTAACTCTAAAACTACTGAAAGAAGGAGACAGAAACACAAAATAATTCAAGTTTAAATTCAGAAAACATTTTGAGATTACAATATAACAAAGTAACAATATATTATTACTGTGGAATGTACTTGTACCTGAACACATCCAGCTAACATTTCATAGAGAATGTGAGCACGTTTTTTCATTACTCTGACATCTACCATGGTAGAATCTGCACACTGACCATTTTGGATTGGATTTATAAACCGATTCCTGAATTCCTTAATGGATCCAAGCAAATTTTCTTTGATAAAGTTAACCATGCAATGATCTAAGAAAGAAGATATTAGTTCATTAACAACAGTAATAGCTAAAAGAACTGAGAAAAATTCTCTGACAAAATGCTCATGTCAAAAATGCATGCCATGGCAGCATTAGAATTAAGATACAAAGAAAGAACACAAAACTGAGTGTAGACTAAACACTGGTTTATCAGTCTGATCTCGAAATGGATTACCTAAACCAGATGAGAAATTCAAATAAAACCCAATCCAACAACAATGATGTAAAGTAATTAGCCTCCAACTAATAAAAATAAATGAAAAAAAAACCCAATCCAAAATTCTAGACTGTCTAGGAAATGAATGTTTAGGAAAAACAACACCTAGAACATTTTATTCTAACTCACTAGTCTTTCTAATAGATATTGAGTATAAAACAACCGCTCTGTAATTCTAACCATGACTTTATGATCAGCAAGGGTATCTTGTGAAAACAACATAGATACTGAACCAAAATAATAAAATCAAGTAATAAGCCACTAGATCAAATTTTGAATTAACTGATTTAGTTCAAGAAGTCCTAAATAGTTGACCTATGCTATACAGAACCACAATGTGAAACAGGGCAACATTCTATAAATGGGGCAAGAACAAAGGGGAAAACTGGGACAGACAAAAATAAAGATAAAATATAGATATATATTATAGATAAATGTAAAGAAAGATAAAGTGAAACAATAGCCAGTATTCAAATAATAAAACAGAAAACAGTAACTATAAAAATTCTAAGAGAATGGAAATAACATAAAAATAACAAAAAACTATTAGAACAGATTACAATGGGATATTTCAATTTGTTATTTGCTGAGTAACTCATGTTCCCTCTTTAGTGTCACCACACACATATGAAAATGAGGGAAACTCACAAGTCACTTCTCTGGGTTCACATCATTTATCCTCAGCCTCAGCAAACTGTATCCTAACATCAATTCAACACAACTCTCCTCCAATCTCCACCTTCCTAAAACTTTCATTTAGCATAGCATTTCTTTCCAAGTTCCTATCAGTAACTCCTCCAAAACTGGATACATTCTTTTACACATTGACTCACACTCAATTAGGTTATTTTGAAGTGGTGTTCCCGTTAAAATAATCCTCCTCCTTGATCGTATAGAATTCATAGCTTTTGAAACAGCAGATGCTTCATTTTTTAGAATATGGCCTTCATCACAAACAACAAAGTCAGGTCCTAGAAAAACAACATTTAATACATAATAAAATTAAAAGCACAATCCATTTAAGTAAAACTAATCACTTTACAGTGCTGCTCTTATGGAAAGATGCTGTGGAAACAACATCCTGATAAGAACAGTTATATTTTATTTGCTGCTATATTTGGTTAATGTGATACTAACAGTATTAAGTTTATTAAAGTACTATTATGATGGTACTTAAGGGCCTCTGAATAAGAGTACAATATAAGTTAAACTATCACTTGAGATTAAGAGTAACTTATATATACGTGAAAAGACAAATTCAAAAGCTACATTTAAAGAAACACTGTAGAAATCACAATAGACCAAGTAGTACTTCCCATTTGACTTACTTCAGATAACTAGTACTCATTGCTGGGAAAAATTTTAACTGATAACGGACAGCTAAACTGACTGTTACATGGGTATGGAGGTAGGGAGAAAAACATTTTCCAAGCTACAGATCTCATACCAGAGAGTGGCTCTTTCAAAAGAAATACATATGATTTGTTTTATGAAAATAACCATATACATTCTTGGCTACAGTATCCTATAAACACAAATTGCTTGCAGGTTAATATACACATAAATTACTTAAACACTGATTTAAACAATAGCAATTGTTGAATTATCCCCTATATTTTAGGCATTACAGAGAATGCATCTTCTGCATGATTTCAGAAGTAACTGCTTCAGTATGATGGATCAAATAACACAATTGCTATTCAATGTTCAGATGGGGCTACATGAATAATAAGATTTATTTTTAAATTACTAATCAACTTTCTAAAAATGAAAATATGTATCTTGCTTTATATGTAAAAACTACTTATTATTTATTTTGAATCCTAAAAAGTTTTCTAAATAGAAAAATTATCTTTTATACAAGTGATTAAAATGATTACTACTACCTAATATTAAGTGTTCATGAGGGTGTGGTGAAGTAGGTACTCATACATTCTTTGTGGAAGTCTAAGCTAGTATCAACAGGGCTTCCTTGGTGGATCAGATGGTAAAGAATCTGCCTGCAATACAGGAGACCTGGGTTCAATCCCTGGGTCAGGAAAATCCCCTGGAGAAGGGAATGGCTGCCCACTCCACTATTCTTGCCTGGAGAATTCCATGGACAGAGGAGCCTGGTGGGCTATAGTCCATGAGGTTGCAAAGAGTTGGACACAGCACAGCGACTAACACTTTCACTTTTCACAAGCTGTTAATCAAACATTGTGGAAGACAATTTCATAATATCTACTAAAGTGTAAAAGATGTTGCACCCTTGACCCAAATTTTAGCTTCTGGGAATTTATCCTAAAGATATACTTCCACAAGTATCACAAGATACATGAAATATTCTCTGAAGCATTGTTTGTTATGGTGGAAAATTGAAACAACTTAAAAGCTTGGTCAAAGGGGTTAATAAAACTATGCTATGATGGAATGTTGCAGAACTTAAAATTAATGATGTACGTTTCTTTGTACTATCCTTCAAAGATATGTCAAATGTGTTATGTTACTAAACAAAAGGAAGAGAGTTTCAAAATCTATAGTATGATCCCATTTTATTTAAATAACCACCTCAAACAGGGTTAATTTTTATCTATATACACATATATGTAGTGAAGTAAAGGATTAACGTGGCCCAAAAAAAAGTTTAGCCTTTGCCTCCAGCTCTAGGGTAGTAACCTCTAAATTCCAGGAATGTCTAACTTGATAAAAATTTGTTTATCTGGATGGCTTGGGAAACATTAGAGATAGTCTATGCTAACAATGTGATGGGGCTGAAGGGAGATCAGCTCTGGGCATGTAGCATCTTCTCAACTTCTGGAGGGACTAGAAACTAAGATGACCCACAAGAGTGGTCAACCATGTCTATGTGACCAAGCCCAAACTTCAGACACCAAGGCTCGGATGAGTATACCTGCTTGGCAATATTCCATGTGTACTGTCACTACAACATCAGTTTAATCACAAGAGAAACAACAGACACTAGTGAACATCCTACAGGATACTTTAATAACATTCCTCAAGACTGACAAGGTAACAGAAAATAAGAGAAAGACTAAAACTGTCATAGACCAGAGAAGAATGTGGAGACATGACAATTAAACGCTATGTGGTACCCTGGATAGGATCCTGGAACAGAAAGTGGACAGTAATAGTAAACGGGTAAAATTCAAATATGGTTTGGAGTCTAGTTACTAATATATCAATTCCTTAATTTTGACAAATCTACCATGGTAATGTAAGATGAACAGTGGGGGATTTGGGTCCAGGATAAGCGGGAGCTTTCTTTACTATCATTTCAACTTTTCTGTAAACAAACAAACAAAAATTCCAAAATAATGTTTTTTTAATGTCACTAAATAGCTTACATAGAAAAACAAACATTACTCATTATGTTATAAGCTTTCATTTCTTTTTATTTCCTCATGATCACATTAAACATCTGAAACTTGTTTTAAACTGTTTCAAGGAAATCTTCTGAAAAATACGCTGCAATACTATTCACTAGCGTATACCTCTCTGACAACAAAACAACCACAGGACTTTTAGACAACTATTTTAATCATGAGAAAAGGACAAACTTAACATTTACAATAGCAGTTAGTTTGGTACATGTTGATTACATCATTACTTTTTTAAAAAAAGGCAAAAGAGTACAGACTTTCAGTTATAAAATGAATAAGGTCTGAGGATCTAATGTATAAACAACATGGTGATAACAAGGTGACTATAGCTGATAACAACGCACTATATAACTGAAATCTGAAACTGAGTAGAGCGTAAATGTCATGACCAAAAAGAAAAAGAAAACTACATGAGATAATGGATGTGTAACACAAAGGGGGTTACCCTTTCACAATGTATACATGTATCAAATCATTACATTGTACACTTTAACTGTTACAATTTTACTTCTTAATTAAACCCCAATAAGCTGAAAAAATAAATTAAAAATAAAATTAAAAAGGGGCAAAGCCATGGATTCTATTCAAATAATTCTATTATTCAAATTCAAATTATTCTACTCAAACAATCCTATTCAAAATAATACTATTATTTTGGCAGTGAAAAATTAGACTTTCTCAACAAACATCTAAAGTCTCAACAGTGTCTTAAAGTAATTAGATATAACAAGATAAAGTTTAAAAAGAAAAAAGTACAGAATACAAATAACTAAATATTGATTGGCTCTGGGACAGTACAACTTGCTGCGTTTCCAAGTCACAAATAAGAATTAAATATTTGGGTCTTGCATCATGAGGATACTGTCAATAGCATTGCAAATATTAACCTTCCACAGTGATGACCATTTAAAAAAAGGAAAAAGTGCAGCAATTCTTCTAATGACATAAAGTTGGAAAAGAAATATAAAGAACTATTTTCAGAGAATGGAGAGAGCTCTTGTGATTGTCTAATATTCAGTCAGAGGAATTTGCAATTGTGACACACCTGGTACATTTTTAACTGCTTATTAACCTCATTATTAACCTCAAACACTTTCAGACTCAGCAAGTGAATTCTGAACATCTGGCAACATTAAGGGTGATTTCATCTTAATGATTATACTAAGAAACAAACAGAAAGCAAAAACCTGAATGATAAACAATAACCAGCTACTTAATAGTTGGTCAATTAGTATTTGTTAAATAAAACATAAGCACAATTTTCATTCAACTTGCTTTGTTATCTTAGTGTCTGTCAATATCTTACCTGGATCAACCAATGCTTTGTTAAATATTTCTTTAAGTTTCCTACTCTTCACATTCCTTCCTTGAGCAAGATTTCTGTACATCTCATAGCCTATGATCATAACACCACCATCTTCTTGCCACCTCTGTAGCATGTAGCTTCTTTCTTGAGGACGCTTCACAGTTGCTAATTCAGAGACCTTTTGTGGGAAAATAAAGATTTTTAAAGGTAGGAATGCATAAATACTAAATATCCCCACTTAAACATGCATCACTGACAATTAAAAATCTTATTTTTTACTATATGAATTTTATGCAGTTATTTTGATAAGAGAAAATATTTTAAATATACCTCAAGCTTCTCATCATCTTTTAATCCCTCCTGCCACTTCTCAAATTCATTCATCCAATTCAAAGCAGTATTAAGAGGACAAACCACTAAAGCTGTGCTGAAATCCAATTTGTCACACAAAAGAACCGTATGAAGAAAACTTACCACCTACAAGAAAACAAATTAAGTTGCCACCTTCATTTAAATATCTTCAAAAAGTAAATATATTGAGCAAACTTACAATAGTTGGGATTTTTTTTGCTGTTTAAACAATAAAGCAAGCAGGCAAAGGTCACAATTTCCAAACCAGGAAAAGTACAGAGAAAGAGATATAACATGTAAAAGGTGGAAATTCAACTAGATGATACATAAGGTCCTTCCAACTCTAAAGCTCCGTGATTTTATGATCAGTAATAATAATATGAATATAATAAATAATAACCACAGCAAAATAGCTACTAAGTCCCTAGTCCCCAGAGAACATTCCTACGATCTTTAGAAAATACCACTTCCCATGTAGAAGAGAATTATATCATAGAGTATTTTTCCACTGCAAAGTGTTCTGACTCACTGAATCTACTGTCTTATGACTTGGAATTTTATATATATATATATATATATATATATGAAAGTGAAGTCGCTCAGTCATGTCTGATTCTTTGCAACTCCATGGACTGTAGCCTACCAGCCTCCTCCATCCATGGAATTCTCCAGGCAAGAGTACTGGAGTGGGTTGCCATTTCCTTGTGTGTATATCTATATAGGTACATACACACACACACACATCTTTTCACTAATTCCACACCTCTGCTACAACTCCTGCAGTCTTCTTGCAACTTCCTGCATTCAGAAATGTAGTATTTTAATAGTGAAAATACACTATGTTCTCATTACTACAAGATCACAGACTATTAAAGTCAGGAATCCCCTGGTTAGGACTCTGTGCTTTCACGCTGAGGACACTGGTTCAATCCCTTATAGAGGAACTAAGATCTTGGAAGCCACACAGCACGACAAGAAAAAAGTTGTAAACGAAGTTCATTTCCACCTCAGAATCTTTGCAGTTTTACTGGCTATGCCTATAATCCCACTGCTTCACTTCATTAGGATCTCTGTTCAAACATCACTTCCTAAAAGATACTTTCCCTCTCTATGCTTCTTTAACATTATCTGAAAGTACATATTTCTTATTTTATTTGATTAAAATCTCTCTCTCCCACCAGAATATAAGCTTCTTGGGGGAGAAATTTTGTTATTCACTGCTTTATCTCTAGCCCCTACAACCGTGTCTGGAACCTAACAGAACATAATATATATTTTTTAATTCATGAATGCACAAGAACAGAATACCTTCACGTTCTTACCTGTAAAGTTTTACCAAGGCCCATGCAGTGGGCAAGAATGCATCCTGAACCTGGAGATTTCTTTGTTTTTTTAACAGATTCACAGCAGCAATCCCACATAAACTGAACACCTAAAAATGATAACTTTCTTAAGTTCAAATTTAAAGGTGCAAGTTAAAAAATCTTCCTTCGTAAATACATCAAAAACATAACTAAAACTTCTAAGAAACAGAATTTTTTAAAAAGAGAGAGATAAAAATCTCTTAACGTAAATGAGATTTGTTTTACATACAACCCCTCCACCAACCCCTAAGGTTTATTAGAAAAAAACACAGGCACACAACAGGGTGACTTTCAGTCCTCTCAGGTATCACAGCAGACCTTTGATCCATTCCCTGGGATGGTCCAAAGAGACAGATAAAAAATCTAATAGAAAATTTATCCAAAGAGAGAACAGATCCCTATCAAATATACTTTCAGGTTTATTGAGTCAATCTGGGGCTGGGGGGAGGGGGGCGGACCTCAGGAGCTATTTTATCATTTCTCCCTTTATTCAACACTAAAAACTGCACAAGAAATGGGCTTGCTACCTAAGGAGTAGGAACTGTAGAATTTCCTTTATGAATTCATTCACATACACACTCAAAATTGACTTACTGATTCCACTCGGACAAAGCAGAGGATAGGGATAATTGGATATCTTTCCAAAACCAATAAAGGAATATAATTAACAAAAATACTTGAAAAAGCATTTCCTAAAGAAGGCTTTTAGCTAACTGTACCGTTCCCTACCACACCACTGCCCTTAGCTAACCATTGCAGATTAGGTGAAATCTACTTGCTATATATACTCATTTGTGAGTGGCACACACTTCCTGTTTCACAAAACTCATTTTTTGTGCAATGTTCAATTTTGTTCTTTCTCATTTGCTTATAAGGGCAGGGATCATATCTGTTATGCTCACCAGCAAAAGTAACTCCAGGTCTTAGCAGAATGTGAGGCACACTAGGGCCATCAAATATTGGTAAAATTTAACGATCTAATAGTTTCTTACCATCTACTTGATGTGGTTTCAATTTGATAACCATATTTCTATGAACCTGCACTAAAGGTTCTTTGGTTTCTTCATCTTCATCTAAAACCAACTTTGTTGTTATTGGACACTTAGTCGGTGAAGCATCTTCAATTTCTATCACCTACAAGAAAGGGAATTATAGATAGTTAAGCTCAAAGAAACCTTTTAAGCAATGGTGGAATATGAATCTTACTAAGGGAAGTTTTCCAAAATACAGACATGTCTACTTCCATACTAAAATCCAGTATTTTTTGTTCAGTAAGACCAGAATGGATCACTAGTTTACACGTTTTCTAAAATAAAAAAAACCTCTACAAGTTTCTAAATCACTGTGGTAACGTTGGTAATTTATTAATAGCTCATCGGTTTTCACCTTGAACACCTTAACATGTGATAGGTAGAGATGTGAGAAAAGGAGCACTCTAAATTAATCCATGGCATCACCATTAAAATCTAAATAGACTGGTTCTATTCTTCTAGAAGACATGTGAAAATGTGCAAGGAAACTTATGGTTACCACACTGGCTGGTCATAACTAGTACTTAATTCAGGCAGTAGCGAAGGTAAATATAAATGTTTTACAATGTGCATGAAGACAGTCCCAAACAAGAACTGTCCCACCCAAGATTCCAAAAGGCTCCCGCTGAAAACCACTGTAAATATGTGTTATGAAAGGGAAAAAATTTCAGAAACACTGGTATGAGAACCTAAGGCTCAGAAGCATAACAAGAATATATAACACCCTTTAATTGCAAAAGGGAAACAATCACCTCAAGTTTACTATTTGAAAGAAAACTTAAATACATATACATAAATACAAATATTTGTGTCTGAATACGTTTTTTGCTATCTCATCCCTATGTCTATCCATTACATAGTATACTCAAGAACTGCATAAGCTAGGTACAAGTATTGCCACTTTACAAATTTAAAAAAAAAAAACCTGAGCCTGAGAAGTTAAATAACTTATACAAGGTCAACCAACGCTTAAGTAACACAACACTAGGACTTATACCAAGAGGGCTAGGCTCCAGAGTCCATGAACTTAACCACTATGTGTTAATACTTTAATAAAGAAAATGCTTGTATGAACAGGTTTATGGTTCCATGAAAATCAATAAAGAGCCATGACTTTAAACTACGGACATTATGATGTTTAAGAATAAAATGTTAAGTGGTACTTTTTTTCCTTATTTAGAACTGTAACTAGGAATGACTGATTATTTGATACTCACTATAGACATTTTCAAACATGAATAGAAGTATATAGAATAGCATAATGAGCCCTATTACCCATTATTCAGCTTCAAAAATTATCAACCTCTGGCCAGTTGTTTCACTGGCAGCCTCTCACCCATTCTCCAACTCCTCGGAGCCTATAAATGATTCTGAAGCAAGCCCAAGCAAGTATGTTATTTCATCTGTAAATGTTTTAGAATATCTCTTTAAAAGGACATTATCTCTTTTTAAAATCATAACTACAGTATCATTATTACCTGTAAAAATTATTTAAACAAGTCACAAATTTGTAATATACTACCTTGATAAAACTAAAATTATATACAAATCAAGATGTGGTAGAGTATAAATAGCACTGGTCATTTAGATCCCAGCTCCATTTCAACAACTTACTTAAACTCTCTTAGCTTCAGTTTGTCCATGTGGAAACTAGGAAAGCTTATAAATAACTCTTATGAGGTTGCTGTGGCGATTAAATGAGGCAAAGAATACAAAGTATCAGGCACAGACTAAGTATTCAACAAATTTTTATTGTGTTTTAGCTTGGATGTATTCCAGCTTCATATTGCTATGTCAAAGACATACGCCAAACTGGAAAATTATCTGAATGTCTTGTTCTGTTTGCAAGGTGTGGAGGGCAGAACTCTAAAATGGCCTCATTTTCATTTCACTATAACCTTGCCAAAAAAAAAAAAAGAGAGAGAGAAACCCTATTTTTAAACCGAACTTCATATACAGTTCTAAATCTTTTTTGTGTTTTTGTTTTTAAATATTGTATTTCAAAGAGTCTAATCTCTACAGTAGATTTTTCAATCTTTGTTTTTCAGTAGTATGTGATATAAATTTTGGTCATTTAAGAATCCAATATTCAGTTCCCATTTCTATTCAGGAGTGTGGTGATACTCTCCCACTTTGTTTTTCAGTAGTATGTGATATAAATTTTGGTCATTTAAGAATCCAATATTCAGTTCCCATTTCTACTCAGGAGTGTGGTGATACTCTCCCACTTTTGACTCTCTGTTTTCTACCTCAGAGCACCTCTATTTCCTCCATTCCCCTTCTCTTCCCAATCCAACTCTGTGAATCTTTGTGGGTGTCTGGGCTACGGAGAACACTTTGGGAACAGATAACTGCGTAGATCTGTCTCTCTCCTCTTGAGTCCCCTTTTTCTCCTCCTGCTCACCTCTATCTCCTTCCTCCCTCTCCTATTCTTCATGTAACTCTGTGAACCTCTCTGGTTGTC